CACTTTGGAGGGCCCAATACGGACCCTCGATAGGATTCCCGCCTACAACGCATCCACCGCCAAGTCCCCTCTTGGATTTTAAAACTCATCTACCAACGAGTTTAGGTAAGGGTCATAAAAAAGTTAAAAATATTCCCTTTACAAATTTATAAAATTAAAATTTTACTATCCGTTTAATTTCCAGTCCCGTAAAATTTTTGTGTAAAGTTTACTCGAGTTTACTTAAAAACGAAGCCGCAGAAGATTTTCTTTACTGCATTTTAATTGCTACAATTCTTTTAGATTAATTCGTATTATTCGTATTAATATTAATACGTTGCTATTGACTTTATTAAAGGAAATAGGAATCATTGAATTAATTATGAACGTATAGACGATGTTAAACCGCATAGTGGTTACGAAGGTCACCACGAATACAACCAATGGCATCTTCTCTCCTTTCAGTGTCTGACCCTAGACTGTGGTCGAGGGAGGACGTAGCGGCGTTCCTGCGGTGGGCTGAACGGGAATTCGACCTGCCACCGTTCGACATGGACGTGTTCCAGATGAACGGCAAAGCTCTGTGCTTGCTGACCAAGGCCGATATGGGCGAGAGGTGTCCGAGCGCTGGCGATGTGCTGCACAACGTGCTGACAATGTTGGTGCGTGATTACAGTCAGCTACAGAGATGCCTACCGAGCAGTCCGGTGACACCGACTAGACCGTCCACATATCCGCTGAGTCCACATTCGCATCCGCCTACACCAACGTGGACAGAGACGCCACCATACGCCTCGAATCTCGCCTCGTTAATGTCGGCCAACTCAGTGACACTATCGCCAGCACCGTCTGTGGATAGTCAATCGGGTTCACCCAGCCACGCGACCGACGCGAATCAGACGCAAGTCTATAAGAGTGATTCGGACGAAGACAACACTCACCAGGTGTCAAGCGGCAATAGCAGTCCACCAGCCACGCCGACCGCCTTGGCGGCACAGAGGCTCAGTGAGGTGAGCGTCAAGGACCAACCGAGCCCGACGTTACCGCACCAGTTAATGCCGCTGACGCCTGGTACCTTTCGGTCAACCACCACGAACAGAGAGTTCTTCCCTAACGATTCGTCGGAACCCAACACCAGTTAGTACTTGCTATTACCTGTGATTTTTAAATCTACCGACAGAAGAAATAGTTAATTGTAAGAAATGCCAAATCTTCTGAACATCCTTTTGACGTCACTTGCATATGCAACAGCATGGAATATTTTAAATATAAAATGTCGAAGTATATATGAATATATATATATATATATATAAATTGTAGCACAATTTCCGTCATTCTGTTTAGACGGAAGACTGCTCTGGGACTTCCTTCAGCAATTGCTGAACGACCCCGCGCAACGGTACCAGCATTACATCTCGTGGAAAAGTCGAGAAACTGGCGTCTTCAAGATTGTTGATCCACCTGGTCTAGCGCGACTCTGGGGCATCCAGAAAAATCATCTCTCTATGAATTACGACAAAATGAGCAGAGCTTTACGTTATTATTACCGCGTGAACATACTTAGAAAAGTACAAGGCGAACGTCATTGTTATCAGTGAGTATTATTATTGTTGTCGTTATTGTTATTATTGCTCTTGTTGTTATTACACACTAAATAATTAGTCTGTCATAAAAAAAATGCGATAGAGATATAAATATGAGTTTGTTAATTTTGAAATAATTTCAATAAAATATTAATATCTCAAAATTTATCTTTGCTGCTGCTATTATAAACAAAAATAACTTTAGAAATACAAATTCCTCATTTAGAATATGAAAACAATTATCTTTGGGCAAAAAGAAAATGGGTCATCTGTTCTTTGCAGATTCTTACGTAATTCGATCGAATTGAAAAACATCAAGAACATATCATCGCTGCGCCATCAAATGCGAATAAAGTCGGAACCAGAGGAGGAAAGAACTCTTTCCGGAAGTCCCGAAGCGGAACCGGAAGCGGACATGCCGACGGATCTCTCAATGTCCAGCATGAACCAACCGAGCGAACAGCAGCAGCCCCTATCGTTACACGACCCACCTGCCAAGTACAGAAGTCACGCGTACAATCTCGTTAAAACCAATCAGGAGCCGGAAGAGAGGAAGTGACGCGGGACCTAGCGATGGTAGGAACGCAATGATTGTGCGTAATCGCATCACGGCAGACTGGGAGCCGACGGCGAAATGACCTCGACGTAAGAAGGGTTCCATATCGGCAACTGAGTGATATCTGTACAAAGATATGCGAAGGTTCTCAAGATGGGAAAAGACGGAAATCCAAAAAGCGTAATTTATCGACAAGAAATACGATGACGAAGATAAGATCTAATCTCGAAATCATGCAGCGGTAATTGTAAAGAGATATACCGATGATCAGAGATTTTGCAATCATTAATAAATCGTAGAGCGCGCGAAATATAAATCGCAGGACAAAACGTGATAAAAGCTACGATTTTAAACACTTTAAACATTTTACAAGACTTTTTGAGAATAATCGTCAGAAAAAGAGCATTCACGTTTATTCAATTCGCACATTGACGCTCTAAGGGTGAAGGATTCTTTAAAAATCAAGAAATTAAATTTTAATTATCCTACATATGTGCCCAGCTTTGTGTGTTTATCGAGAATTCAAAGTTGCAGTTACGCAAGAATCCTCTCCATTTTCGTCGTTATATGTAAGAGTGTGATAAGAAACGCAAGAAGAGAGTGTATCTCCTCACGGTGCAAATCGGATAACGCGATTTACTCCTTCTCCCCTCCACCTTCACATAGATTCGCGTTCAATACCGATAATGATAGATCGCTTCGATGTGAAGCTGAATCTTCGCGGATATTCCGCCCTATCCCTTTCTCTGCTTCCTCCTCGTAACGGAGTGAATCACCCAAACCGAGCAATTTCCTTTCCACTTTTACAACGACAAGATGTGTATGAAACGTACGGTCTTAGGTGCACTTAAGAACATACATACGACGATTCAATGTACAAAGAATGCCAGAAGGAGAACTGTTACCAGGTCTTTCTTTTCTTACGCGTTTCTCTGCTCCTCTTTTTCTTCATCTTAGGTATATATTCTGTGATGTACGACTTTATTTTTTTTCTTGGCGAAAAACGTAACCTATGAATAAGGTCGATCCCAAAGAAAGACTCTACTTGATTTGAAACATTCAGTGTAAATACATCACAGAAAAATTATGTTATTGATGTTTCCGTAGTTTCCGGAGTATAAAGAGCTTGACAAAGTCTTTTTCACAACAGTTCAATAATTATGTATATCTGTGTATGCGACACATATAGATCAGATTCTAAAGGAAATATTTAACTGGATTTTCTCAGGCTCTTACTGTATATGCACCGAAACGGTTCTCCGTTATTTTGACGTATTTGTGCCAAGAACATTTAATAAAAGAACGTTTTATGTATTTAGTCGGTTGTTCCAAAAAAACTCGATATATCACGATTTTGGAACCAATATGTATCCCTTAAGCTCGATGTATGCGTTGTATCAAGAATGCGCCATAATCGAGTATCGTATAATCGATTATACGTTGTAGGAACTGTATATAAACTGAACTAATGAACTGAATTATATAATGAATTGTAAATGCGAACGAAAGATAAGATGAATATTAGAAGAGTAGTGCAAGAATCTTACGGAAATTCGGGGCCAGAGTTAGAATATATAAATTTATCTATAGAAAAAATATATATATATATTTTACTATCAAAATTTATATTCGAAATTTCTATGTTTGTTGCCTGTGTGATTGTGGCTTACATTCCACGACTCTTTATTCGAGGTTTGTCTACGAGATAAACCACGAAAGTCCGCAAGAGAAGTAGAAAAAAACGTGAAGAAAACAAGACGCATATACAATTAGGAAACAAATTTAAGAAGATTGCTAATTGTATTTTTGCACTTGAAAATATAAAGCTTGAAAACATAAAATTGAGAAACCATGAGAGAATTAAAGCGTGAGTGTGAGCGAATGAGATAATGAATGAGACAGGTATGATATAAGTGACATATTGAGAAATATATCTGGCTTCTTGTATACTGTGATCTCCATACTATATGCAGAAAGATTAAGTACATAGTTAATTAGGAATTATTATCTAGATAAAACGCGCGTGCATGTTACACACATCTAGATAACGTCTGTCTAGAATTTGCGTGATGTTATCGAAATAAAATTTATATATATATATCTAATAAAAATACATATACTCACACATAATATACAAAAAATATATGTGTCATTTTAGATATATATATATATATATATATGTATATCTTTTCTCTTTACAATCGTGTAAATAATTTTCACATGGACAAATGTCGGACAAACAGAAATGTTTATATATAAATGAATAAATATATATCTATAAATATATTTATATAAATATGTATAAATAATATATAAATATATTTATACATATGTGTAACATATGTATGTAACAGCATATATGAAGACATAATAGTAGTGCGAAACAATGCATATAAGTCTAAGATTGGAGAAGTTTATATATCGTTTCGCGTGTATAAAACATGTAAAATTCTAGAAATTAGAGCTGTTTTATTATATAAGTTGTTATATGAAGAATACATGAAATAATGAATGTTGTAAATATAGACTTATTTAGTTATTAAGAAGGTACGTATACTATTCTTTCAACTCATCCAAAATACAATCTGTTAAAAATAAATTTTTTTTCAAACACTAATCATTGCTATATCTAATAACATGCATTTGGACACACCAACGTTTATAGATTTAATTGTATTTAATTAGAATAAGGATTCCATCAACAATATTAAATTCAGAACATTTGACGTTTGAAATTTATCAACAAAAATACATTTTATGGCAAGTCATTGTTACGTTATTCAACTATCCAGATTACAGACTAAAAGAAAATATCTATTTTGCATTAATTTTATTGAAAAAGAAAATATATACCTTATAGTATAGTTTACATGTAAAACTTTTTATTGGAAAAATATTATATTGTCTGCTATGATAGTTGTAGTAAGAATGTTTCTTTCTTCTGCATCTTTAAATTCATTATAGCTTATCCTACCATTTACCAGTATTCGTTGACCTTTCTTTAAATAGTTATATACACAATCCCTTAATTTAGGCTTAAAAACACATATCTTGTGCCAGTCTGTTTTCTGAATAAATTCACCTGGAAATATAGAGATACTTCAATATAATTATTCCTATGGATATAACATTATTGCGTATTTTTCCAAAGTTAGGTTAGGGTTGATTATAATTATGTACCTGAACTGTATTTGTGATTTGTATGTGTTGCAAGGGTAAATAATACAACTGGATGATCCTCAGAACCACGTTTCTGAGGATCTCCTCCAACCCTTCCAAGTAATGTTACATGATTTAGACCTATGAATAAAAAGGAAACCTTCATTTTAAAAATAATAGCATCAAATTTCTATTATCTGCATAAAAGTAAAAATGAAAATTGTTTAATTATAAATATCTCTTAGAATTGCAAATAATTCTCTGATAGCATTGTATACTTACACTTTTCTACATTTGAAGTCTCATTCACTTCTTGCGTGAAGTATCGTACATTGTTTAACCGGACAAGTTGGTTGCGTATTTGTTGCAAAATAACCTAAAAAAATAATATACGCACTTTGTCATTAATGTGTTTCATTCTAAAATAATTTCATATCTTATTTGCGTAGAATAACGGCTGTAATACTCACTGAGCGAAACATTGTGATAATTTCACTATAACTTATTTATCATCAATAAAATTCAAGTTACAAATAAATAGATAATAAAGCGGTAAATGATATATATGTACGCGCGCGTACGTATGTACAGTATTCACGTGTCACGTTACAGTAGGTCTGTTTTCTGTGGCTGAACTAGTGTACACTTTTGGAACTTAAAGTGAGATAGATATATGTTTGATATTTAACGAAAGCGAGAAAGAGAGTTCTAGTGCAGCCTAGTGCAGGAACAGAAAACAGACCAACTATCGCAACTGCACCGAACGACACAACTGAACTATACTACACTCACGGTGGAATAGGTTTATTCTTTTTAAGTTAACGTTCTTGCACGGTTCCTTTTCTCTCCACGGTGGAGAGAAAAAAAAGAGAAAAGATGAAACGTGCAAGAAGTTCAATTAAAGCCTAATTTATAATGGCCGTAACCGTTAACTTAAGCCGGTGCCGATAAAGTTCAATCATATGCTGGATTCACACTGCATCCGATTTTCGTCATACGACACTCTGCAACCAATCAGAAAACAGGATTCCGATAAATTTTGCTTCGTATCATCGGAATCCTATTTTCTGATTGGTTGCAAAGCGTCGTACGATGAAAATCGGATGCAGTGTGAATCTAACACATGGGACAGCACCCTTATAGTACGTTTCCACTGAGCGTGTCACGCGTCGCGTCGTCCGTCCGCGTCGCGAATTAACCAATCAAAACATCTCATTTTATTGTATCGTTTGACGCGTGACTCTTTGCGTGACGGAATGGGATGTTTTGGTTGGTTAATTCGTGACGCGGACAGACGACGCGACGCGTGACGCGTTCAGTGGAAACGTACCATTAGTGCTATGCCAAGGCTGCGTTCGGAAACATCACCCGAGTGCCCTCGTGTATCATCTTATCTTTATTTAACATTGGATGAACAACAAGGATAAAACAATACACGGGGGCACGCAGCCCAAGGCTGTAGGTTTGTTAGCGTCGCAAGATCCAACATGCTCCTACGATAGCTCCTGTTCACATTGGGTGCGTTCAGCAGAACGTTTGTTTTGCAACTGTTGTAAGTTTCCTTCGCGCTAATTGGATCATACTTTTAGATCTAGAAGAATGGTCCTATCTCAGCAGACAATCATAAAACGGTTGCAAAACTGTTGAGTCTGCTGAACGCAGCCATTGGCTGCGTTCAGCAGAACGTTTATTTTGCAACTGTTGGAAGTTTCCTTCGTGCTAATTGGATCATACTTTTAGATCTAGAAGAATGGTCCTATCTCAGCAGACAATCATAAAACGGTTGCAAAACTGTTGAGTCTGCTGAACGCAGCCATTATCAAGCACGTTGGAGTGAGTAAGAGCTATGGTAGGAGCATATTGGAACGTATTGGAGTATGCGACGCGAACAAACCTTTGATGTTTGTTCGCGTCGCATGCTCCAACACGGTCCATAGGCTCCTATCATAGCTCCTACTCACTCCAACGCGCTTAGTAGAGTGAGAAGGAGCATGTTAGAGTATGTTGGAGTTTGCGACGTGAACAAACCTCAAGATTCACTTCAGTGCTGAAAATATATAGTATACGTGACGTAAACTGTAGATTTTCAGCGCTGGTAATGTATATTAGAATCAGCCCATATTGCACTATCAGAAACGTCAGTGCAACATTTCTTGAACTTATTCAGTTCATTCGCTACTACACTGGATCAGTTTTTATATATATATATATATATTTGCCGAAATTGTTTTAAAAATTATTTTCAGGTATTGGACATCTCGCCATTCTAGGATATTAATTAATTTAGTAATAGTAGTTTAAATTGTAATATAGGGGGGGACCGGGGCTAAGTGAACACCTTTTTTTCAATTGCAATTTTCAATAACAAAGTAAACGATTTTAGTCAAATGATTATTATGCGGGGTCTACAATAGAAGTCGTAACAGTCGAGGGTCTTAAGTCGTAGAAAA